ATCTTTATCTTATCTTTATCTGATCTTTATCTTATCTTTATCTTAACTTTATCTTATCTTTATCTTATCTTTATCTGATCTTTATCTTATCTTTATCTTAACTTTATCTTATCTTTATCTTATCTTTATCTTAACTTTATCTTATCTTTATCTTAATTAATCAATTTCATTTTTCTGCTTCAGATTACTGTAAAATGTTTTATTGATCTGTATGAAGAAAGACACTTGGCTGGACGTACTAAATAATGTGTCTTAAAATACAAAGGTTTTTTTTTCTCGTCTTCTTCTTTTATTTTGTAAAGGCAAAAGGAGGAAAAAAATCCATGCTTGTTTAGCTTTTTGAAAAAATATTTAAGTATGGCAGGCTTAGCAGCTTACTTAATTACCAGCTATGATTAGAAAATTGTTGTTGCAGGGAGGGATTTGCAGAGTCTAAGCTATATGTTTTGAGTTAATTACATCCTAAGGTGCTGGAAGTTTAATGTTTTTGTTGCATTTAAGAAGAAACACCTTTTTCACCTTGATTGTCCTAAAGTAACCAGCTACCTACAACATCGTTTTGGATTTGCAGTTATGTGCTCATTAAACTCCTTTCCTCTCCATAAAACGTTGGTTACGTACTGTAACCCCAGATTCTAGGAGTATAGGCGTAGCCCTTTAAGGCTGTCGCTTAGTGGGTTTATCCCGTTATGCGTAGCATTTGCACAGAAAATTTTAGTCCACGCCCACCTGCTGTGTGGGCCCCACCCGGTCCGTATAAATTACGTTAAGAGCGGGAAATCGGCTCCCAAAAATAGCTTTTTCTTCAGCCATTTAGGAGCCAGTGAGGCCCGACGCTTAAAGGGCTACGCCTATACTCATAGAATCTGGGGTTACAGTACGTAACCAACGTTCTATTTCGTATAGGCTTCGCCTTTTAAGGCTGTCGCTTAGTGGGTTAAGGGCGAAGCGGATGTTGTCCTCGCCTCACTGGGTCCATTCGAACACCGTATGAAGCAGAAGCTTGCCCAAAAAAGTCTAATCACTCAGCTCCCATGTGCGTAATTACGCATTGCGTAATTAAGTGTGCCATGCACAGACGCATGTTGTGTAACTATGCATTCTGAATGCATGAACGCCCCGGAAAACTTCAACGGGGAGGGAAAAACGCTGAAAAGAGCCATGAACCAACCGGTTTACGGCTGAACCGTACAAACAGATTAATAATAACAGGAGAGCTGATTATTAATCAAATGAACTGATTGGTAACAATAGTCATGAACTGATTAGTGACAATAGAACCAAAATAACAATCACAATTTGTGATTGATAACATCTCACACTGTAATGCATGCAGACAGATGTGAGTAAAACGGAGTTCCATGAAACAACAATATTCATTCTGTAACACTAAGGATAGAATGTGTTATGGAACGGCCGTCACATCACCTAGATAAAAGTGAATAAATGAGCAGGGTGTTGACCACGCGGCCACAGTGCACAATGTCCTGCATTGACATACCATTATGCAAAGCAGTCGAAGATGCGATACCCCTGGTAGAGTGTGCTCTGAGGTTGACAGGAGGCTCTAAATCTGATGCTCTGTAGGTTTCAGAAATGGCCTCACACAGCCAGTTTGACAAGCGCTGGGTGGATAACGGGCGACCTGCAGATGCATCTCTATAATGCACAAACAGATGTTGACGCATTGCAGCTGTGCACGCTATGTAATACGTCAACGCCCGCACAGGACAGAGGAGATAAAAAGACGCTACTTCTTCTGATCTGTGGGAAAAGGGGGGGGGGGGGGACGAGCCCTCCAACGATATCGCTCTTGATTTAAAAGAGCTCGTGATGTTTTAGGCATAAAAGCTGGGTTGGCCTAAAAACAGCTGAGCTGCCGTCAGCCTGAATTCTGAGACATGACGGAGCGACAGAGAGGGCAGATAAAACACTCACTCTCTTAGCGGATGTTAAAGCCAGCCGCAGGGCTGTTTAAAGAGACAAGAATTTAAGTGGAACCTGATCCAAAGACTCAAATGAAGCTTTGATCAGGACCTGCAGGACCAGTATTAAATCCCACTGTGGAACAAGTGGGTGTGAGACAGACCTGCGTCTCTGTACACCTTTTAGAAAACGCTTCATCAGCGGATGATAAAACCTGTTCTGTCTCAGAAACCTTCATGTCAGGAAGAGATGGCTGCAGCGTACGTTTTAAACGTGCTGGATGCAAATTTCTGTCCATCAGCTGCTGCAGAAAGAACAGCATGCCACCTAATGGACATGAGGTGGTATCTACACCCTTCTCTGTACACCAGCACTGAAAAGCTGTCCGCTTTGATGCATGCATCGCTGTGGTAGATGCAGCACGTGAAACCTGAATTGTGCGCATTACATCCTGTAGGCAACCCATCCTCTCTAAGTGGATTCGTTCAACGGCTAGACCCACAGGTGCTGGCCTATTTCTGGGTAACTCTTGGTCGCTCCTCCTGTCTGGAGGAGAGCGTCCTCCCTCTACGGCAGTTTCCACGGGCACCCCGAAAGCAGGCGTTGCAGGGCTGGGAACCATGGTGCGCTCACACGTTCGGGGCCACCAGGAGAGCTGTCAATCCCTCCTCCTGAGCTCGGTTCAAGAACCGTAAAATCAGA